AACTTAAGGGAGTGATATTTGTTAGCTCACCAATTAGACCTTATTTTCAACACATCACTTTTGGTCCATTAATTTTTGAAACAATGCTTACCGTTACTGATAAAGTTCTCAATGCAATCCTTAGTTTGTATCAGTAGGCTTACTTACCTTTTATGAATTAATGAATGTTTTTATAAGCCATTTTTACAAAGTAGCTGGCTGAACTCAACTCTTCTTCCATGGTACAAATTAAAGTAAAGGCTCCTGCATGGTGTCTCACCTGCACTTTTCTTTCTAATTCCAAATTTATGAGCATCCTGAAATTAGCCTTTTTTTTAAATAAGCCAGAGTTCCTCCTTTCCAGTGGTGGAGAAAAGCAGGGGCGATGCATAGGGGGTGCATGTGGGTGCAGCGTGGCGGTGTACACTCTACAAAAGGGAACCACTGACGGTGTTGGCGGTGTCTGTGGGCGGTTGCGAACCCCTGGTTGGCACTCACCACCCCTTCCTCCTCCTCCTTCCACCCCCTCCGCCGACAGTACCAGCAGCGTCTGCAGGAGCTCCTGCTTACCACCATCATGTTCCCGTTGCTGCCGTGCCCCCCTAGCCACTGGGGGCATGTGTCATTCATGGGGAAAAGACTTCTTTCAAGTTTTTTTCAGTGAGTTATGAGATGGCAGTTTTTAAAATTGTGACACTTATGACTAGAAAAACTAGTTTAGGTAACTTTTGTTTCTAGTATTTGGCCTCTTCTCCATGTTCTGACAGTAAGTTGGACTCAAGGTACTAAGACAGTCTGACTTTACACAGGAATAGAAAAATCTTTCCAATAAAATATTTGAAAGCTCTCTAAAACTCCTTGGTGCAGGGTATATAGCACACCCAGAGTACAGTACCACTAGTTTCAAATAACTTGCTTAAAGCCACTTGTGGTTTTGACTTTTACAGGTAATTCAGTTGTTCTAAATTTGTGCTAATAAAACCTCTATATCATACTGTCATATTCTTTGTAGGTTGTGTGTACGTGTGTGTAATAGAGATTCCCAGGTTTAT